GCACCCACCTGGGATGGTGCCCGAGGGCAGAGACCCCCTAAAACCTCCCCAACCCCCCCCCGGGGGGTCCCACACCCACCTTGGATGGTGCCCGAGGGCAGGCGGCCCCCCCCGTAGCCCTCGGCCAGCTTTGCCCACTGGTATGCCAGGGGGGAGGTGCCCCCCCGGCTGTAGCAGCGCAGCAGCACCGACCCCCCCTCGATGAGCTCCCCCTCGCTCCAGCACTGCGGGACCGCCGGCTTCTCTGCTGGGAGAGAGACGGTCAGCACGGGGACGGGGACGGGGTCGGGGACGGGGACAGGGACAGGGGATGGGGTCGGGGACAGGGACGGGGACAGGGACAGGGGATGGGGTCGGGGACAGGGATGGGGACAGGGACGGGGACAGGGACGGGGACGGGGACAGGGATAGGGGGCAGTGGGAGGGGTCAGGGACACCATCAGGGACACCCGGGGGGACGCGGGACACTGTCAGGGACAGGGGACAGGGGACATTGTCAGGGACAGGGGACAGGGACAGGAGACACTGGGAGGGGTCAGGGACACCATCAGGGACACCCAGGGGGACGGGGACACTGTCAGGACCACCAGGGAGGGGACGGGGGGCACCATCAGGACCACCTGGGAAGGTAGCAAAGGACACTGTCAGGGCCACCCGCGAAGGGGACAGAGGACATTGTCGGGGCCACCAGGGGTCATCTCTGAGAGGGACAGGGGACACTCGGGACAGGAGACACCATCAGAGCCACCCTTGAGGGGAACAGTGGGCGCTGACAGTGCCACCGGGGGGTCACCCGGGAGGGGGACAGGGGACACTCGGGACGGGGGACCTTGTTAGGGCCACCAGGGGTCACCTCAGAACGGGACAGGGGACACCCGTGAGGGCGACAGGGGACACCGTCAGGGCCACCGGGGGTCACCCGTGAGGGGGACAGGGGACGCTGGACAGGGGACCCTATTAGGGCCACCCAGGAGGGCGACAGGGGACACCATCAGGGCCACCGGGGGTCACCCGTGAGGGGGACAGGGGACACTCAGCAGGGGAACAGCGGCCGCTGCCGGTGCCACCAGTGGTCACCCGCGGCGGGGGGTGGGGGGGACACACACGACAGGGACAGGGACCAGCCGGGCCGTGTCCCCTCTCACCTTGCACGGTGACGATGACCTCGTGCACGGCCACCGTGTTCTTCTTGACGCGGCACTGGTAGGTGCCGGTGTCGGAGACGCGCAGGTCGGCGAGGCGGATGGACGCGTCCTGCTGGCCCGGGTCCGACTGCACGAAGGCCACGCGGTCCCGCAGCCCCGACCCGCCGCCGTAGTTCACGTGGTGGTCCTGGTACGACAGGAACTGCGCGGGGACAGACGGGCACGGTGGGGACGGGGGGGCCCCGGGGGGGGGGCGGGGGGGGGGGGGGGACGCGCGCGGAGGGGCGGGTGGGGAGGGGGTGATGCGGTGCTTGCCTGTCCCTGCCTGTCTTTGCCTGTCCCTGCCTGTCTTTGCCTGTCTTTGCCTGTAGCTACCTGTCCCTACCTGTGTCTGTCTGTCCCTGCCTGTCCCTGCTTCTACCTGGTTGTCCCTGGCTGTGACTGTCCCTGGCTGGTCCTTCCTTGTCCTGCCTATCCCTGTCTGTCCCTGCTTCCTCCCTGTGCCTCCTATCCCTGCCTGTCCTTGTATCTTCCTGTCTGGTCCTTCCCTGACTTGCCTGTCCCTGCCTGTCCCTGCTCCCTCCCTGTCCAGCCTGTCCCTGCCTGTCCTGCCTGGTCCTTCCCAGCCTGGCATTTCCAGACCCTGCCTGGTCCCGTCCCATCCCTGCCCTGCCAGACCTTCCCTGCCTTGCCTGCCCTGCCAGACGCTGCCTGTCCTGCCTGCTCAGCTGGGCTCCATCCCATCCCATCCCATCCCATCCCATCCCATCCCATCCCATCCCATCCCATCCCATCCCATCCCAACCATCCCAGCCCTGCCTGTCCTGCCTGTCCTTCCCTGTCCTGCCAGACCTTCCCTGTCCTGCCTGTCCTGCTTGTCCTGCCTGTCCTGCCCGCTCAGCTTGGCTCCATCCCGCCCCAGCCCAGCCCTGCCTGTCCTGCCAGATCCTGCCTGGCCCTTACCTGCCATTCCCAGAACTTCCAGATCCTGCCTGCTCCTTCCTTGCCCCTGCCTGTCCCTGCCTGTCCCTGCCTGGTCCTTCTTCCCTGTCCTGCCTGTCCCTGCCTGGTCCTTCCCTGCCCTGCCAGACCTTACCTGTCCTGCCTGTCCCTGCCTGTCCTGCCTGCTCCTTCCCAGGCCAGCGCTCCCAGACTCTCCCTGCTCCTTCCCTGCCCTTCCAGACCTTCCCTGCCTGTCCCTGCCTGCTCAGATGGGCTCCATCCCCCCCTCCCCACCCCTCCAACACCCCCCCAGCCCCTCCCCCCGCGCCCGGCGCCCTCCCTCACCACTTTCTCGGGGCCGGGCTGCTCGGGGGTGATCTGGATCCACTCGATGCCCACGCCCTGGGGGCCGTGGTCCTCGGGCTCCAGGACGTAGGGACAGCCCAGCTTCACCGAGTCGCCCTGGGCCAGGTACAGCTCCTCCCGGCCCTGCCCGTGGATCCGGACGGCCCGCACGAGACCTGGGGAGGGGGCACGGCATCGATGGCACCGCCAGTCCCTGCCCCGGGGCACCCCGGCCCCGCAGACAGCACCCCTGATCCCGCAGACAGTGATCCCACAAACAGTGATCCCACAGACAGCACCCTTGATCCCACAGACAGTGATCCCACAGACCGTGATCCCACAGACAGCATGCCCTGATCCTGCAGAGAGCACCTCTGGTCCCACAGTGTGCCCTGATCCTGCAGAGAGCACCTCTGATCCCACAGTGTGCCCTGATCCTGCAGAGAGCACCTCTGATCCCACAGTGTGCCCTGATCCTGCAGAGAGCACCTCTGATCCCACAGTGTGCCCTGATGCTGCAGAGAGCACCTCTGATCCCACAGTGTGCCCT